GGGAAATTCTTTGTTAGCCTCGATGTTACTTTCTTTGAAAAAACACCATATTTCAACAAACCCTCTCTTCAGGGGGAGATCAAGAGTGAAGAGCGGTTTGAAGAGTTTTTCAACTTTGATCTCTCCCCTCCGGAACCAACCTATACTAAACCCAACAGAACATCAAAATCCAATATGCCATCTACAGAAGGAAACTTTAATTCAGGGTGAGATGCAGAGAATCAAAAAGACAAGGAGATTTTAGTTTACTCAAGGAGGCCAAATTTGAAGTACAATGGACACCTTGCACCTGAGGCACCAAAAGAGTCGGAACCGATGATAAGGCCTAATGAAATCCTATCCGATAATTCTGGACCTCCAAGTGATGATTTACCTATTGCTCTCAGAAAACAAACTCGGTCGTGCACTCTTCACCCTATATCTAAATTTGTGTCTTATAAAACTCTATCTACACAATTCCACACTTTCATTGCTAATCTGGACAATACAGAAATCCCAAGAAACATACAGGAGGCCTTAGAAATTCCCAAATGGAGAGAAACTGTTATGGAAGAAATACGGGCGTTGGAAAAAAATGAAACTTGGGATATGGTGAAATTACCACAAGGTAAGAGACCAGTTGGATGTAAATGGGTTTTCAATGTAAAGTATAAGGTTGATGGGACAATTGAACGATATAAAGCTCGACTGGTAGCCAAGGGATACACACAAACATATGGTGTTGATTACATAGAGACATTTGCACCAGTGGCAAAATTGAATACAGTTTGAGTTCTCATATCTTTAGCAGTGAATTTGGATTGGCTACTCCAGCAACTTGATATTAAGAATGCTTTTTTGAATGGAGGACTGGAAGAGGAAGTCTTTATGACGGTACCACCTGGGTTCAGTAATGATGGTAGAATAGAGTGGGTATGCAAACTCAAGAAATCATTATATGGTCTCAAACAATTACCAAGAGCCCGGTTTGACAGGTTTGCAAAAGTACTGAGGAATCAAGGATACCAACAAGGGTAATCAGATCATACTATGTTTTTCAAACAATCTGAAGAAGGGGAAAAAAAATTCTAATTGTGTATGTGGACGACATAATCCTTATAGGTGACAACGTAACTGAGATGGACAGACTGAAGAAAATCCTTGCCTCTGAATTTGAAGTAAAAGACTTAGGTCAGATACGGTACTTCTTAGGTATGGAGGTCGCGAGATCAAAAAGGGGCATTAGTATATCACAACGGAAATACATTCTCGATTTGTTGTCTGAAACTGGGATGCTTGGTTGTAAACCAAGTAACACACATATAGAATGCGGGAAAAGAACAGATGGTTCAGGAAAACTAGTTGATAAAGAGAGATACCAACGACTGGTTGGTAAGTTAATCTACCTATTACACACGAGACCAGACATTCCTTTTGCAGTTAGCGTTGTAAGTCAACACATGCATGCGTCGAAGAAAACTGACTTAGAAGCAGTATACAAAATTCTCAGGTATCTAAAAGGCACATCTGGAAAGGGGTTATTCTTCAAAAAGAATGAAAAGAGGGAAGTAGAGATATTTACTGATGCAGATTGGGCCGGATCAGTAGAAGATAGGAGATCAACATCAGGATACTGTACCTTTGTATGGGGAAATTTGGTAACGTGGAGAAGTAAAAAACAGAATGTAGTGGCAAGAAGCAGTGCCGAAGCAGAGTTCAAAGCAACTGCACAGGGGATATGTGAAGGGCTGTGGTTAAAGAAACTCTTGGAGGAATTGAAGGTTGGAATAAAATTACCTATGAAACTCTACTGTGATAATAAAGCTGCCATCAGCATTTCACTTAATCCAGTCCAACATGATAGAACAAAACATGTGGAGATTGATAGACATTTCATCAAAGAAAAGGTGGAAGACGGAGTTATTTGTATGGTATATGTCCCTACAAAGGAGCAAAGAGCAGATATCCTCACCAAAAGTTTGTCTCAACAGAATTTCCACGATTTTATCAGCAAGTTGGATATGATCAATATCTAGCAAGTTGGAAATGATCAATATCTACAGTCTAACTTGAGGGGGAGTGTAGAAAATCGTGCATTATGGAAATAACTTTATATTGTTTTTACTGTGATTATGGTATATTTGGCATGATTGGAATATTATATATTGGTTTACTTTTGTTGGTAGGTGGGTTGATGAGGTTATTCCTGATGCCCCATGGGTGATAAATCAAGAATTCCTTGACAAGTACCTAATTGACTATGTGGCTCATGATTCTCTTCCGTAAGGATTTCTTATCCGTAAAATATTGTGTTTACAACGTAACTTTGGATTTATATGGTGAAATTAGGTTATTAACTTTTCAGGTACTCATGAAGATTTCCTATCCATGTTTTTTCCCCTAGTTTTTAATTTTTTGATTTAGAAATGATAATTACATACCAAATGTTCAAAAGTCAATGTGGAAAGACATGTTATGAACACAATTCTTTCTTCCTTATTCATTTTGGTCCACTCGTTTCTTTTCTATTTTCCATATTTGCTTTCATTTTCAATTTCTTTCGAAACTTGTGCATTTTTAATTATAAAGCACTAGGTTTGTGCAATGTTTTTATTTATCACAGTTATGCAGATGCAAGCGGGGCTGGAAAAGATGTTTATGAATTTGTAAGCATCACATTCTTCCATAAATTCTTTCGCTGAAACCGTTTTTATGTGAAGTCATTTGATAATTATACATCAACTTTGATATAGGTAAAAGCCGTTGGGAAATTTAAAGAGACAAAAAGGACAGAAGGAATTTCAACATCGGACATCATAATGAGGATTGTGAAAGATTATAACCAATACGTGATGCGTAATTTGGATCGTGGATATTCAAGGGAGGATCTTAATGTTAGCTATGTGAAGGCATGATATTTTACAAATATTCTCTCTTAACTCAGATTTATTTATCAGAAACCTTGTTGGTATTTGTTTTCATTTGAGGTTACTGACTTTTAAAATTTTTATTTTCATGAACAGGAAAAGCGGCTCAGAGTGAATATGAGACTGAAGAAGCTACAGGAGAAAGTTAAGGAGCAGCAAGAAAAAGTGGGGGAGAAGGTGGAGGGAAGGACTTCATATTCTTTCCTCCATCCGATATTTTCATACATTATCTTGATATACTGATAATATTTTAGGTAGACAGTGCCATCAATATATTTGCATTTTTATCCTTATAGATTGAACCAGGCTGCTTCTTATTCCCAAGAAAAGTTTATAGCTTAAAGATGGAAGAAAGAAAATGATTAATAAAAGCTAGTGAGGTTTTTGGAAGTAGTTATGGTGATCTTGGCAATTGAGGTTTTTGATAGTAGTGGTGTCAAGCTAGTGTAGGTCACACAGACTTCTAGTGTGCTGGCACGCACATACACGTATCTCGAGATTATTTTATGTATTTATTTATTGTGATAAAGAAGCTCACAATGAAGAGGAAGTCATTCAATTTAGGCAAAAGATTTATAACTTGCAGTTAAAAGTTCCATGGATTTGGTTTATTATATTTTAAGGAATCTAGCAAGTCTTTCCTGTTCCATATATTGCACATTTACAGTGATTACCCTTCTTCGTTTGCATCAGAGTGCTAATTGAAGGTTGTTTCAATTTGAAAGCCTTCACTTGGTCTGTTACTACTAATTTATGCCGTGTGGCAACATTTCTCCATGATTTATGTGTGATGTTTATTATGTAGCACTATAACCATGATTACGCATTTTTCCCAGTTGTATTTGTGCTAGACACTAAATTGTTTCAGGGTGGGAGATAACCTTTTTTATGCTTTCTTCAATAATGGAATTTTTTGATCTTTGAGTGTTCTGGGATAGTGGTCAATTCAAAGCTGCAGTGAATATTTTAGGGGGCAACAACCATAAATTGAATAACTATCAGAGAGGTGTTAGTTTCTTATTAACATGTTGTCGAAGTTTATCTTTCAATTGGTATTTTTTATTTGCTTGAATAAGAATGGCATCTGTTTTGGTTTGTTCTGAACTCAAGACCTCCAAGATGGGCTAGTAATTTAAAAAGGATTTTATTTAACAATGAAAGGCTACTGATAGAGAAGAGTTGAAGTGTCCATGTAATTTATTTATTTATTTTGATAAGTTGAAGTGTACATGTAATTGACCTTAGATAATTTTTTTTGGCTCTTGAGAGGCTTGTAGCTAAGAGTTTAAATATTGTCCAATAATATGGATATATTACAAGATATTTTTAAGCTGTGAAGCATTGTACTCATAATTTTCTACTCTGAACAGAGTATCAGTGTTGGCTTTATGACATCTTCCCTTGTTTTAAATCATGCATTAGAGCCATTTTGTTTCCTTTTCATCCAACTATCTCTAATGCCATGTATTAAATCCTCTTCCTTAAGAATTGAACTAAAAGTCCTAAAGTAATCACTTTTGTAACAGTCCTGTTGATGTAGGAGCATACAATTTGTTAACGAACAAGAAAGAGAAAGTGGTCCAAGAACAGAATAATTGAGGGCAAGAGGAATTCAATTTTTATTCATATAATCAAGGATTATGAATTATAATGATTGAGCCCTCTAAATATATATAGAGAGAGAAAATAAATTAAAAGAAACTAAAATCAAACGAACTTCTAACAAACTAAAGTTTTATTGAAATTTTATAACTAATCTAACATAATTTGAAAATCCATAATCGGAATTTAACTCTATTTTTAAATCCTATTATAATTCTGATCTCTATTATTTCTCCCGGATTGAGAGAACTCGACTCAGATAAGGTTGACCGAAACTTCATTATCCAAGGAGATCCATCTTTTGTCTTGACCAAAAATGCCTCTATTGAATTCTTGAAAATAACATATGGCTGAGCTCATGCCAATGAAGGCGATCTTTCTTGTGCACCAAATAGTGATCTATGGACAAGAATTGATTTTGTAAATCATTCTCAATAATATATGATTTGAGAGAGACGATCTCTCCTTTTAAACAAGTACCAATATGGAATTCCAAAAAGCACAAACTTATGTAACTCATCTTCAAAAACTTCAATTAGGTGGGCACGGGGAACAGCACAAGGAATTAGCACTATAAACTGGCATATAGAAAAAAATGATTGTGATAGGTTCCTGTTCTGAAAGTTAGCTACGATGTAATTGGGATCAAAATAGAAATGCAATTGACCTAGGTATAATTCTTCAAAGATATCAGTGTTAAGTGGATTACAAAGGAAACAACTTCACTAAAATCATCTAAACAAACCCCTAAATACTTTATAGATTGTGACAAAAAAGATTTGATTGTGTCAAAACACATTTTTCAAAAAGTCTTTCCACCACGTTTATTGCAATAGGGAAATCTTCCTTATATATCTTTTTCACACTATCCAAAAAAAAGAGTAATCGAGTCTGGAGATATATTGTCACTTTCTTCCAATATAAGGGTTATAATTGTCTTTATGGATGTGAAGATATTATCTAGATGAGTTTTTCTTAGGGCTAAAAGAAAATGTTGGAACATGTCAATTATCATATGCTCACGGCCTAGATCCAACATGATGATAAAGCGCCTTGCATTAGCCATAATCTCTAGTAATCTAACTCCCTTAGCATACAAGTTGGAGGATTGTTAGTGAGAGATGCAAATGATCATATAATTAATGAAAAGATATCCTGCATTGTCTCATCACTATAAGGGATATTGGGTGCCGTAATACGGAATTTTTCACTAAGGTAACAAGTAATTGCTACTTGTATAGAAACATCTGGATGTTTTAAGAACTCATTGGAGACCAATGCTATGATGAGTGTAGAACGGGATGTGAGCATGTAGACAACACGTGATTGGTACTTGTAAGAGAAAATCCTCAGCATGTTCAAGAAATGTAGTTCATTAAAAGACGAAGGTCGAAGAATTTTTTTTTCCATTTGCCAAAAATTGGACTCGAACTTTTTAATTACGCCATAACATTTATTTATTTTTAATTATTTAAAGGAAAACAAAGTAATCATAAAGTAAAAGCTATTTATTTTTTAATTTAAATTTGATAGGCCAGAACACTGAAATAAAAGCATACTTCCAATATAAGTAAAAATTGAACATCTCGAAACTCAAAAGATACGCGGTGTCCAAGTCATCATATTCAAGCTGTCACAACTATGGTGGAATATTGCAATTGAATTCTCCTTGGCGGTTGCTTCAATGAGCAGATCACGAGTCATGCAAATGGTGTTAGAACTTTTTATTATTTTTTCACCTTTTTGTTTACTTTCTTTTCTTTTCACCCTTTTTTTGTGACTTTCGTTTCTTTTCTTCTTTTTGGAAAATAGTCTAGTACAATCCAAATATTCATAATTGAAATTAAAGTCTATTTATAAAATCTTGTTATAACTCTATCTCTATCTTGATCTCCATCACCAGTATTTGTAAATTAAAATAAATCTTGGTATACAGTAATAATGAAATAACTACCTAATTCCCTTGTGTTCCCAAAATTTTCCCTACTTTAGTTGAACTCTTGTTTTGTAGTACTTGGAGATTGGTATCGCGTCATTTTGACAGTCAATTACCATTCTTTTGATAGCAGATCAGGTTGATTTAATTTCATTAGGCCAAATTGTGATTGGTAAGAATATCTACATTACCATGTTTCAATGCTATATGTTCTCTGTTAGTTTCTCTTCATTATTCATTGAGCTGTGCTCTTTTCTTAATTAGCGCATTGCTGCACTCCTTTCCACAGAGAGAGAAATCCTCTAATTTAAATCCATTGGAATCAGACCCTTAACTGCTGCTCTCTCATGGAGTAATCTGAATGGCTTTTTATTGTTAGATTGTTGCTATTTTTCCTTTACTCTGCCAATTTTTTTTTATTTTCGTCTGATTTATTATTGTGGAGCCTAAAAAGAGTGTATCTCTTGCAGGTGGTTACATTATTTTTGTATTGTGGCAATTCTCACAATAAGATGTTTCTTACCCTTCTCTTGTTCTAAGTGGTTTCATTGGTTTAGTGTATAGAGGCATGAAGAATGTGTAATAGATAAATGACTGCTTATTAAAATTTGATTCCACCTGGGTTATCAAAGTCCTCTTCTCGATCTGCGCTAATGGTTGTGTCTTGAGTCAACATCTTGCAGATTCAGACTGTTGCAAAAACTGCTGGTATGCATCGTAATATGTGGTTTGAAAATGCAGATCGCTGGGTTGCTGGATTCCTCGAGATGTTTGAGGAAGGTTGCCATAAAATGGTGAGTGGAAAATCTTCAACTCTTGGATATATAAGATCTTGCAGATACTCCAGAATCCAAACCTGAATGCATATTTTTATCTATCATTTTCTCAACTTGTGTTTCTTAGGGGACTGCCATAAGGGATCGGATTCAAGAGCGTTTAAGAGGACAACAGGTCGGGTTGTTGCCAAATGGCCATAAGACTGATGACAATGATGACGAGTTTTATTACGATGACGAGGCTGAAGATTATGATGACGACGAAGAATACTACAATAACGATGAAAAGAAATGATAGTGCCATGTAATTTACACATGTATCTGCACCACAGGCCAACTAATTTTTACTTGGGTACTATGTGAAGTATAGTATAATAGCTTTGGCAAGTGATATTGTTAGAGGCTTTTATTCTATCATTTTATGGTTTTCTTTATTCCATTTGATTGAGCGTTTTCTCTTCATCAGACTCTTTACATTATGCATAGGTGACGCCACAACTTAGTTTTGTAGCTTGTGAAAGTTCTCGTTCTCAAATGACTTTTCTGGTTTACAACTCAGCCCCATAATCGTTGATCACATCGATGAAGGCATTCAATGCCACTGGTTAGAACTCAGATGCATAATCGTTACTTTTACCAGAATTTCTCGTTCTCAAATGACTTTTCTGGTTTCTAACTCAGCCCCATAATTTAAATGGATCGATTGGCTTCAACCTTACTTCTATTTTTCTACTCAGGTTATTCTGCCTTTCTTTCCTTGGCACTTTACTCTTTTCTTCTCTTAACATTTTCTATTCCATTAATAATCTAGGGCCAATTGGTCGACTTAGTATCAGAAAATCATTGATCACATCGATGAAGGCATCCAATGCCACTGGTGGTGGTGATGACAGCGCATCATATTGTGTGGAGGAAGGCAATATAGCTCTAACATCTATTAGAGCTGTGGATTTGAACTTGCATTTTTACTTCCAAGTTCCAATGATGCTTGTTTTTCCTTGTCAATTGATTTTTGGTTCTCTCTATATGATATCGATTGTCGCTGAAAGATGAAATTTTGGTAAGCTTAAACAGAAAAAAACAAATGATAGTTTTCATAAGAAAAATCATGATTGTTGACCTCGTTTTTCGCACTATTGACGTGGACAAGATATTGGGCCCACTCGCATTCTCTCAAGTTAAATCCAACCAGGGGCGGACCGAGATTATTTTTCTTGTGAGGTCAAAAATGAGAATTCAAAAATGTTTAGGTAAAAAAAAAATAACTCTGAGGAAAACTCAAAAAAAAAATTTGTGGGGTCATTTGACCCGACAAATTTGTGGATTGTAGTCAATAATTTTGCATTACCCTTAAATGACACAATTGAGGATATTTATAGTGTTACATATGCAATAGTAACCATTGGATGAGAGGACACGTGGTTTCATCTCCTTTACTGAAGCACCACATCTTAGGTAACAATTTTGACTCCAATAGCTTGTGGCTCATTAAATGTCCCAAAAAGGAGGCGACTACCTCATACCCTATGTTGACAATATTGATCATTTTACTCATTAGAACGGTCCAATCAATTATTCTAAAAGGATTTCATAAATTTAAAATCTTTAGATGTGGATCGTTACCAACCTTAGTTGAGCCTCAAATTCTTCTTCGTTGGATATCGCCATTTCGGCAAAGAAACTTCGTTTGTGCCTCAGATTAGTGCTTGAAACCCACGAACGTGCCTGCTGTCTGAAGTCAGGATGTGTGGCAATTAGTGAGTTCTTGTGTATGGGAGGTGTGCATCTACCTCTGCACCTATTTTTTAGGGCGATGCTGAGGTCCTATATGTTGGCTCTCACCCAATTATTGCCAAATGGGTTGAGCCAGTTGGTCGGGGCATATTTCTTTTGGAAGGAGACCTCGTTTTGTGAGGATATGCCTTTTCACGTCTTCCAAACCTTTTTCCAACCCTCAAGTACTTGGGAAGGAAGAGTCCAAAGGGTGGTCCTAGAACTCCTTGGGGGGCTCCTGCCCTTTTTTTGGTGGGTCTGCCATTCTCTATAAAGGGTTGGAAGGAGTCATGGTTCTAGGTTAAGAGTAAATGGTAGACGGTTAAGGGGGATAAGGCCCCAGCTTTTACTGTGCCGACTAAGTACTTTGAAGCTTCTGAGTGTCTCTTTCTGTAACTTGTATTTTATTTGCAACATGTCTAATATTCTTTGTTTTGCAGTTTCAGGAACCCGTTTCAAACTTTCCCAGGCCGAGTGGGACGTTATTGAAGACATATACCGACGTCCAGAAAGATCACGCCACTTTGATCACCTAATCGACCGAAGCAAATTCTTCCTGGACTTCAGATTGATGGCTTCTTGGAGTTCAGATTGATTGAATGATAAATGTTGATTTTGATAATGATAATCTTTCGTGGCTTGGATAGAGTTTGATTGCAAATTTAGTTTGATAATGTTTAAAAGTAAATATAATTCTATATTTTAAAATCAATTTTTATCCAAATTCCTTATATACATCGTTTTAAATTCTAATTGTATACAAATTCAATTGAGAATCTCAACTATAAATATTGTGCAATTGTCCCACAATTCACCACTAAAGAATTTTACACGTCAACTTTTATATAAAGCAGCTGTAAATTGCTAGTAAATTTTTTTTTTTTTTAAAAGCTCATTTGATCAATCAAGATAAGATACTTCTGTTCAAATGGTTTGTTTCCTTATGCTTTTTATATTCAGTAATTTATGCATGAATTGTTGTGGACCTTCGAGTTCTTTATTAAGAGATAAGAAATCCTACGATAATTTAAAATGACCTAAGATGGGTGTCTCACTTGATCACCGATATACTCCATAAGAGAAAACTGGTATGAAGTATTTATTTATTGTATATAATAATTGTGTATGAAAACTGCATGTATCTTACTGGATATTTTTAAATACTCGCTTTTACAAAATTTTACAGGTTAGTTCGGGTCGATTGTAATAGTGGCGGGATGGCGATACGATTACCAAAGGAATCTAAGAAATAAAACATTAAGTTTATTATTTTTTTCTTTAAATTATTAGTCAGTTTTATTTGTTCAAAGACAGTTATTTAATTTGTGACTATGTTTTCATTATGAATATTCCATTTATTTATTTTTAAAGAATATTATTTTATCATTTCGCAAGAAACTGAATTTTTTGGTAATACTCCAGTGTTTGTGAAATTTTGGGGTGTTACATATATTCTCTTTCTTTTTTTATTAATCTTGGGATTCTAGTGTATGAGGTGTGATCTTGATTGTTAGTTTGGTTTTTAATTGATCTTTCATTATCGTGTAAATTATCACATATATTTCGCCGGAGCCCAAACATTTCTGTCTCGTGTTATAAAGTTTCTCCTACGTGCAAACCCTATTTTATTGTTGATTGACAATTGTTTCACATGTGTTGGAATTAGCTTGAGAGAACGCGAGTGAGCCAGGTATTTGTTGTCTATGTCAACAATGCGAAAAACGAGATCAACAGATTGGTGTGTCTGTGGGCATTTGGGGCAGTGGTTTATTTGACTTAAATAAGATAGGAATTTAAAACATATTTCATTTTAGTCCTCTCTTTTTTTTTTCAAAATATTAAAAATATACTATATAAAACAAATAAATTTTTCTCTAAAATTTTTGGGGGCGTTACAATATATGGATTGTAGTCAATAACTTTGCATTACTCCCAAATGGCACAAATATGATATATTTATAGTGTGACATGTGCAATAGTAACCATTCGATTAGAGGACACGTGTCTTCATCTTCTTTACTGAAGCATCACATCTTATGTATCAATTTGACTCCACTAGCCTTTGTCGCATTAAATGTCCCAAAAAGAAGGCGACCACCACATACCCTATCTAACAAGATTGACATGTTTACTCATCACAACAGTCCAGTCAATCATTCTAAAAGGATTTCATAAATTTAAGATCTTTAGATGCGGTTCTCGTCACTAGTTTTAGTTGAGCATTGGATTTTTCTTCGTTGGATATCGCCACTTCGACAAACAAACTTCGTTTGGGCCTCAAATTTGTCTTTTAACATATTTACTTCGACGGGTCGGATTATCTGGACTCTAGTAGACCCCTACTCCACGTCGGATGCCACATGACTCCTGCAGAAGGTGCTTCGATGGATCGGTTGAGCCACGTGGGAGCCTGGGGGTGACGAGGCATAACAATGATAAAATCCCAAAGATGCATAAAATCAACAGATTAAAACCAACACGACACTATAGTCTAGAGTGGCAAACATTAGCACCATAAGAGACCACTAGAAGTCCGACCGATAATAAGACTAGATGTTGAAGCTTCTCATAATTGTATGTTGGCATTGACTACAATACATAACATGGACAAAAATATAATACAAATCCATCAACACTGCTAATCAATTGAGTATGTGAAAAGGCTTACGAGTCACGAGCCGACCTTTATAGTCGAGCAGCCAAACATTAGCACTAGAGGAGAACACTAGAAGTCCGGCGAAGATACAACGGGTTACTTGGAGCTCCTCATAATTTATGTAAACATCGACACAATACATAGTGTGAACAAAATATAAGATGAACGCATGAATGCTACTAACCAATAGAGAATGTAAAAGGGCTTACGAGTCACAATCCGACTTCGTAATTTAACAAAATATGTGTTCTTGTTCACCAAATCATTCTGAAATCAATTCCATTCCATCCTTTTGCTATGGATAATGAATTCTTAAGCAATGCCATTGATTACATCCTCAATGAAAAGACTCTGAGCAGTGTAAGAAGATCCAACTTCTTGCAAAGCCATCCTGCTTTTGTTCTTCAATTCAGCCACCTTCTGTTTCATTTCATTCTTGCCATTGTTTCCCATCAACCTCGATATTCCCAACTCTATTTCCTCCGATCGAACAATATCCATGGGATTCTCCGCCTTGAAAGCTCTCCTGTAGTCTATTCTGATAGCCTCTGCAATTCCCAATTCCTTAACCAATTGGAATGCATTCAGTTGTTGCTCAGCAAACAATGGCCAAGTAGCCATCGGCACACCACACCACACGCTCTCTAATGTCGAATTCCAACCACAATGCGACACAAATCCACCCACCGCTGGATGGGACAGCACGGCCATCTGTGGTGCCCATCCGATCACTTTCCCAACCCCTTTTGTCCTCTCTATGAACCCGTCTGGTAATACTTCTTGAGGATCATCATATGTTTTTGGAAGTTCCATCTTATCCTTTGGAGGAGGCCTTCTTAAGGACCATAAGAATCTTTGTCCACTATTTTCAAGTGCAGTAGCTATTTCCTTCACTTGACACTCATCAAAACTTCCCATACTCCCAAAGCACAAGAACACAACTGAAGACTCAGATTGATTGTCTAGCCAATCTAAAATGAGTTCTTCTGATACATTTTCGGGGGAATTATTATCATTCGAATTCAATATAGGCCCTACTGGATAAATTTTTGGAGTGTTTGCATCAGTACTCAAAGCTTGAATAGCATAGGATTCAAGCTCAGAAAATGTGTTAACCATAATCCCTCTTGTCTCTCTGAATTTCTTGAAAGAGCCCAAGAATGTCTTCGACTTGGGCGCGTCCTCTACGAATACATACGGCAAGACCTTAGCCGGAATCGGGCTTGAAAAACACGGCACGAGCAATTCGATATCGGAATTTTTATATTGTGTTAAATCCTGATTATGTTCAAATACAAGTGACACAAGATGAAAAAATAGGGATAAACAAGCAGCACCTGAAGTAAAGAAAATGTAAGAATTGAGTCCAAGTTCATTGGCTACATCAATGAATGAAGTGCAGAACATATCGATAACAATTCCTGCTAATTGTGAATCAGAGGAATCAATCAAATTTGAAAGTATATTTCTTACAGGAATCACTTGGCTATCAATAAAATCAAAGAGGAAGGTCTCTGATTTCATGGGCATCATTTCATCTTGGCCGGGAAGGTTTATTAGCTTGAGACGAGAGCAGGGGTCGGTGGCGGCGGAGAGTTTTTGTGTGTAACTTTCAAGAACCGTATCATTGGGAAGCTTCATGATTAAAACAGTGATGGAGATGCGGGCATCCTTTTGGAGCAACAGTTTGGCCATCTCCACGGTGGAGATAAGGTGGCTCAGCATTGGCGAAGGGATGAATACCAACTCTGCTTTCTTCATTTTAGATTTATGAGATATATCCAGGCGCACTTCTCACGAAAGTTCAAAAATGAGAAAATAAAAAATTAGATTACTGAGTTAATTTAACTGTCGGTCACACAAATCTCAATGAAATTATTTTCTCAATGAAGATCCGTGAATGTCAAATATCGTTAATTCCTCTTTCAATTACTTTGGATATTGCTAAGTGTCGGACTAAAAATATGTGGTTGCTATCCTATATGAAATGAGTCACAATTACTGGACCACGATGACTTTGGAGAATATAATGTCCCCACTATTGACAAGTGACGCGTATTAGCTCGCCCAAAGTGTACCTAGTCATCTAACACACCACAAACTTAAGAATAATGTTATCTAAAATTAATGGTTCTAGAGTATCAGTCCATGTGTCCATACTTGTTATGTTCAATTTAATGAATTATGTGATATTACATTTAATAAATTTATCATTTAATGATATGTAATTGTCATCTTAACTAGTGCTTGATATCGGTGATATTGAATAATATTACTCCAAAGTTAAAGACCGTCTTGGTGTGAAAGGCATGAATTAACACAATATAGTCCGAGCCTTAGGGACATTTGTGATTTTCCCTGAGACGTGTAATATATGTTGGAATTTGCGAGATGATTTTATAGGTGTTATTTCAAAAAGTTTTCAACTAGTATGATAACTAGTCTCCGACTCTTCAAATTCAAATGATGCATATCGAAGAGTCATTTTATTTTGGATTAGTTGCGACTATTCAACAAGGCATATAATGAAAAGGTACGACTAGCTATGTCAACGAGCCGAGCCGAGTCGAATCGAAAAAAAAAAAAGTTCGGGCTCGACCAAGCTTTTTTGGGCGGCTCGGCTCTGCCCAAAAAAATGAGGCTCCGCCCGAGCTTTCGACCTGAGCCTTAGCGGGCCGAGCCGAGCCGAGCCCGAACTGAACCGTTCGGGTTTTCTTTTTTTTTTTTTTTATGTCAAATCTACATTTTTACTTAAAAAATTTAAAATTAGTACAGTTTATACGTACTATAAATTAAATAAAAAAGCTCGGACTCGACTCGAGCTTTTTTGGGCCCGAGCCGAGCCGAGCAAAGTCCGGCCAAAAAAATGAGGCTCGGCTCGGAGTCGACGAGCTTTTTTGCCATCCCTAGGTACGACCTTTTTATATGATGCAATCTAAACAACTAGATATGAAAATGTGTGATCTAATAATACATATTAATTTTTATCAAAAGATACTACCATTCGAAAATATGCTTGAAAATCTGTAAATAGGAACCCCTAATTTCATATTTTCTTACTCCAAATTAATTCAAGAAAAATTGATTTCTAAATTCTCTTTATCTTTTTAAATTATTCTGTTGTTTTTATTTTGTTGAAATTAAATTTCACCTAAATTATTTTAAATTATTTTCAGAAATAAATTTCATTCGAGCAATTTTAGTTTTGTGCCTATTCCGTTCATGAAGAATATTGTCAATATTTTGGTTTGTCCAACAAGATTAATATTGTGTTATATTAATTTTGCAAAAAAATTTGTATTTTGAGAGACAAACGTTCATATAATTCTGTTAGCACTATGCAGGGGACGAAATTTGTAATCCTGTACCGCTTCATTTCAACTCTTTTTTAATCTTTGTGTTTTAGTAAGTCACGATTTGTGTATATTTTCATGTACGTAATTTTGTTTCGATAAGTAGATACTCTATCCGATATCTTGCACCAGTAAGTCATGATTTTATTATATTTGTATGCACGTGCTTTTGGTTTAAAAAGAATATAATTATGCACTATTTCTCCAACAATATATGTGCCGAGCTCAGCATCCATCTTAGCCATATTGAAAGGGCAATGACGATGAAAGGCTCCTAACTCAATTCGACACAAAACTGTCCATACACTTTCAATGATGCTTATGTAGGAGATATTACACCGATAATGTGCATATTATATTAATCAAGAACATACCGTGAAATCGAAATATTATTCGATTTACCAAAATCTGATTTGAGAAGACAAAATAGTGATTATCGATTTCCAATATATGAATATGGATTCATCACGTTCCAATCTTGAACGCGTGTCATTCTTTAATTCAAACCTTACATGAAATCAAAAGAATATTAGTTACTTTTCGAAATCAAAATACTAAATTAGAATGAAATCGGGAAAAGAAAGATGAGATGCAAGTGATGCGATCGGCCGAGACAAGTGTTTGACACTTTGTCCTTAAAATGAATTTGCCCCGCATCAGTACTAACGGTTTTTCGGCAATCATCTCCCAAGATACAATGACCACGTCAAGCCATAGGAGCACTCCAAATAATTTAGACCAACAAACTCGAACGGAGTTCCCTCTCTACCATAACCATGATTTTGATGTAAGAAATAATCACTTCTACAAAGTGTTTTATGCAAAACTAAATTATAAACATGGAATGAAATTATATGAACCTATTAATTGAATTGTTTGTTGTTTTCATAAAATCCAAACACATGGAGATCTATATATATAGTAGTTGGAAACCACACCAAAAGACACATCTCTTGAAATTAAGAATCATGATTATTGGAAGTTACTCACACCAAAAGTCATGATCTTCCATATGAAAAGACTCATCTTTTCATCTACTCATTCTCTAGAATATTCCACAATATTCTATACAATTTTCAACAATTTCAAGTATTTTAAGTTTGACTTAATTTCTCATTCACCAAATAAAAAATTCCACTTAAACAATCACTTAAATTGGTCACAACCAATTTCGAATTTTTCAACAGTTTTGATGTAAGATAAAATTACACACAATCTTAGGTAGACACATGAAGGGAATAAATTGGCACAACGATGCAAGTGCACACTGGGCCTGTTGAACCGCCTAGCTGGAAATCAATGGAGGCCTAGCTTACTTGTTTATTCTGTTTGGTGCTTTGGTTCTAGAAAACGTGGACTTTCAAGTTGAAATCGTGTTTCTCACTTACCTGATGAAATGAACGCCTATGGAGTCACCACGTGTCGCCTCCAACGCCGTTGGATTGGCGACTGTTGTGTGACTCATTTAAAGGGCTTCTAGGGTTTGAGTTCATGGTCTGCTTCTTCGAGAGTCTTCCATTTTTCTCTCTCACTATTACGCTGTTTTCTTGAGTTTTCTCTTCTTCACTGTAGAAATCAAATCTTCTCATTTGATTCCTTATTTTCTCTCAATAGTGTGTAATCTTTAGTGATTTCCTTGAATATAATCTGTTCTTGTGTGAACTATAGTGTATGGTTGAAGAGAGAACTTGAATATGTGATATTATTGGGCTTGTCTGAGTGTCGATCCTTGTAATCTTTACCTTGGTTTTGATTCGAGCATAGTGGTATTCGTTCTTGTGTGATTGAAGCACTAGTGATGTAAAATCTTGGCATGTGGGTATTAATATAAAGAGATACGTTTCTTTTCTTTTTGCAGTTTATATTTTGTGTTTTAGTTCAGTTTATATTGTGTTCAGATTTCGGTTTCTTGAAGTTGTGATTTCAGTTCTTGTTTTCTGTATTTCACATGCATATATTTGTTGATTTGTGAGCTAACCAGTGTGATCTCCTCCCAACATCACATAATTAGCGGGCTTGACATGATAGTCCTAACAAATTGATGAAGGCCGAAAACCAAAAAAAAAAAGATTTATATTAATTGCTTTGTGAAATTTTTTTCTTAATTATGAACATCTAAGTACTTAAGCAAGTCAGGGTTTCTTCCTATCTAGATTTTTCTATTTAAACACTTTATGGATTGTAGTTTTATTTTGTTGGATTTTGATTTTTAGTCAAATTTGAGATTTTTCTAATCTTATTATCGAATTTCGATATTCTTTATGAAGAATCAATGATCTTTGACTCCCTAAACATGTGTTATTCTTAAATGTAACGTGAATCGTGAAACGTTTCAATGCACGTTTAAAGATCAGTTGATTCTATAATGAAGGTGGAGCTCGGTCAAGACTTAGATTTTTTTCATCAAACTTCCATGAAACTTTGGTTCTGATTTTCTTACAATAAAGCCAACAATAAAAATGGCCCCAACCTCCGTCACTACCTCAAAAGCCCACTTGGCGGTTTCCCCAATGTCCAGTTGGTTGCTTGACTCCAGGGCTTTGCATCTTAGTGATATCAACAAGTCGTCTGCCCTATTCTCTATATTTCGACTCTGATAGTATCGTGATTAGCGATGGCACGGACCTCTCCATTACACATATCGATTGTGCTCTCCTTCCCCCTTTTTATATAATCCCTTTGCATTAGCCAACGTATTGCATGTTCAAGTTATGAAGTTCAATCTTATTTTCATACCTCAATTTTGCTCATCTATTCTCCTGTTCATTCAATTCTCCCCGTCTTCTTTACAATTAAAAATGGCGGTATACGAATGGCCAACCAACATTCCATCCTCGCTCCTAGCAATTCTAGTTTCAAAACCCTTTCCTTCGATCGGCATCATCAATGGGGTTATCATTCTACAAAAAATTCCGAATTTTTTAGTCACGAGTATTTTTGTACTGGTATCCCATCCTTGTCTAGTTACTTTCATTGTAATGCATGCAAATATAATAAATCAAACAAATCACTTTTTAGGTAGTTTCTTGTTGTCACGTAACCAATAATGAGGGCCTCATAGGACGAGGCATAACAAGGACGTTTTCTTTTTTTGGGGTAAGCTATTGATTGTGTGTTGTTTCACGTTTGAAGTGGGATCCCAACACATTTATAGACATCAACGGGTTGCTACTAGCATGGCAATGGAGAACAACTGCTTATGTCATTGCTAGCTCTCGTCTACCACGTTTATTGTCCACAAGTCGAACACTTATGGATTCTACTCCAATTGATCGAGTACAACAACACTACGGTCTATATCTCCCTTTTAGAACAGCAAGTGAATCCACTCCATTGTTGATGTTGATCGATCGATTGCATCCCACTACCATCAGATGGTTTGAAATCATTATTTATCATGTTAAAATA